CCTCTAAAAATACGGTGGTACCCAATTATATATCTGGTTTTTATCTTCTAACTTCTCTTCTCTTTATCTTCTAACTTCTCTTCCCTTTATCTTCAATACTTCTCTAACTGATTCTTTGTATTTGAGCTGTAGTACCAGTCCCGACCAAGAAACCTCCACCAGACTGAAGCCCGAGCCTAATACCGTTCTTTGTGTAACCTCTACTGTGTCATTAAGGACAAAGTATTCAAATATCACATCAAATATCAATACAATTATCAAATATTATAAAAACATAACTGCCTAACCTAAGTTCTCTTTGAAACAAACACTATTGAAAACAACAAATATGCAATCAAGTTAGAAAATTTAGTTAATTATGAATATAGAGAAAATTTACTGTTTTAAAAAACAAATACACAAAAACTTTTATTGTACTTTCTGATGTTTTTGTTAAAAACTTTTAACGTTTGAAGAAAAAAAAATTGATGGATTCGAACCGTTACTTGATGGAAATTCATTTATGCAACAATATTTGCCTTTCTCAAGTGATCTATTTTTGGCTTGGGTTTACAAATTTATAGTCTCTAATGAAATAGGTTGAGGAGGGGAGAACTGTTTGTCTCAAGTTGGTCATTCAGAATTATATCTGTGTTTTTTAATTTGTTGATTTCCATAGATTCTAACAAAGATAGCTTAAGGCCTTTATTTTGAATATGAAGAATTTTAAAGTTGTCATTAAAATAATGATTATGATCTAGAAGGTGAAGTGCGGATGTGGAATCTGTTTTTCTATTCTTGAAAGCCCTTTTATGTTCTGCTATTCGTTTATCAAAGTTTCTACCAGTTTGACCGATGTAAGTTTTTGGGCAGTCGTCACATTGAAGTTTGTACACCCTATTTAAGTGTTTTTTATATTGGCCCTTGTTATTTTTAATATATTTGCCTAGGTTGTTATTTGATCGGAAAGCTGGTGTTATTCCTTTCTTTTTTATGTGTTTGGTAATTTTTGTATTCAAACAGTTTTGTAAGCCGAAAGTGCTCAACTAAGAATAAAGTATTTTACACATTTTTAACATACTTTTTGTTTCATTTCAATTCATTCTACTTTTATATTTTCCTCAATATCTTTATGTTTTAATCCGTATATCAGTTTCTTAACAGTAAATCTGTTAAAAAGTAGTTAACATCAGTAACTTAAAATTTTTGGTAGGTCGTACGATCAAAAACTTCACAAAACTAAAGTCTTAAAAGTTTTTTATGAGTTCATTTTGTGGGTAACTGTGAATATAAGTAGCTATAACCATTTTCATATCTTGAATAATTGATGGATTCGACCGTTACTTTGTACCGGAAAAAACACTGAAAACTTTGTTTTTCAAACTTCCACAAAATTTATTTTAAATATTATCACTACAGCTGTTTCGGCTGATTGCCTTTCTCAAGTGATCTATTTTGGTTTGGGTTTACAAATTTATAGTCTCTAATGAAATAGGTTGAGGAGGGGAGAACTGTTTGTCTCAAGTTGGTCATTCAGAATTATATCTGTGTTTTTTAATTTGTTGATTTCCATAGATTCTAACAAAGATAGCTTAAGGCCTTTATTTTGAATGTGAAGAATTTTAAATTTGTCATTAAAAGAATGATTATGATCTAGAAGGTGAAGTGCGTATGTCGAATCTGTTTTTCTATTCTTGAAAGCCCTTTTATGTTCTGATATTCGTTTATCAAAGTTTCTACCAGTTTTGACCGATGTAAGTTTTTGGGCAGTCGCCACATTGGAGTTTGTATGCACCACTATTTAAGTGTTTTTTATTTTGGCTCTTGTTATTTTTAATATATTTGCCTAGGTTGTTATTTGTTCGGAAAGCTGGTGTTATTCCTTTGTTTTTTATGTGTTTGGCAATTTTTGTTGTTATTTTGCCTGTATATGTAATCGAGCAGAAGGTACTGGGTTTTTTCTCTGGTGGTGGAAATAGAATCCCTCCTACAGAAACTTTTATTCTAGTAAAAAACCTTTTAGACCAAAATAGTACAAATCCAATAATTACATCTGAAATTTTACATCTTCTTGAAGTTTGCATAAACCAGGACTACTTTGAATTTAATAATAAAATATATACAAATAACAGTGCAGGACTTATAATGGGTAATCCTCTAAGCCCATTGTTATCAGATATTTTTATGGATCATCTAGAGACAAAGATGTCAAAACATCCCGTATTCAAACAGTTTTTATATTGGTGGAGATACGTAGACGACGTACTGGTATGTTTCACAGGAACTAACAGGCAACTCGACAAATTTTTATCATATATTAATTCAGTTCATAGTCAGATTCAATTTACAATAGAAACAGAACAAAATCAATCCATAAATTTTTTAGATTTAAAAATTAGCAGACTTCAAAACAAACATGACTTCTCCATATTTCATAAACCTACCCATACTGACACGACTATACACAGTCATCCCATCCAACACAACATAAACTGGCAGCTTATCATAGTATGTTACATAGATTAACAGAAATTCCGATGTCAAAAGACAACTTTGAGACAGAATTAAATATAATTAAACAAATAGCAGTAAACAACGGATACAACGAACAAACAATTAATAAAATGTTAAATCAAAAACTACACAAGAAAGCCCTGAAATTAGTATTTCCACCACCAGAGAAAAACCCAGTACCTTCTGCTCGATTACATATACAGGCAAAATAACAACAAAAATTGCCAAACACATAAAAAACAAAGGAATAACACCAGCTTTCCGAACAAATAACAACCTAGGCAAATATATTAAAAATAACAAGAGCCAAAATAAAAAACACTTAAATAGTGGTGTATACAAACTCCAATGTGGCGACTGCCCAAAAACTTACATCGGTCAAACTGGTAGAAACTTTGATAAACGAATAGCAGAACATAAAAGGGCTTTCAAGAATAGAAAAACAGATTCGACATACACACTTCACCTTCTAGATCATAATCATTCTTTTAATGACAAATTTAAAATTCTTCACATTCAAAATAAAGGCCTTAAGCTATCCTTGTTAGATAGAATCTATGGAAATCAACAAATTAAAAAACACAGATATAATTCTGAATGACCAACTTGAGACAAACAGTTCTCCCCTCCTCAACCTATTTCATTAGAGACTATAAATTTGTAAACCCAAGCCAAAATAGATCACTTGAGAAAGGCAATCAGCCGAAACAGCTGTAGTGATAATATTTAAAATAAATTTTGTGGAAGTTTGAAAACAAAGTTTTCAGTGTTTTATTGTTACATTTTCATATCTCTTTAATATCTTCAATATAACCAATTTGAAACATTTTTTAACATATAATATTGAATAGATTTATATTTTTGTGACACAAAAAGTTGCATAAATACCAAGATTAGGATTTGTTGCGAAGCCATTTCGATCTTTTGTCAAAATTTATAGTACCCTTGTTAATCCAACGGTATTGATTAATGCATCCAGTTACTATTTATTTATATTTATTTGACACGGAAAGCAATACGGAAGCAATTTTATTAACAATACCAGCATCTGTATTACTACCATTTTAACTACACATTTCTTGTTTTTCTACGTGATTGGTATGGACGAAACTTCCCATACATCAGGACGTCCCATTGGACGTCGATTGAATACCGCGGACGATACTAGCAAGTCTAACGGATCCATCTTCGGAAAATACCGCACTTGATTAGTTATATCTAAAATTACCGTTACCTCCTCTCAGGACTGATAGATATTTTATAGAGGTGCTGTAATTCTCGAAATAATGGATTCTGCATACGCATGGAGAGGTGATAATCAGGAAATTTATAGTATGCAAATATTTATATTCTCAATTACAATAACTACTGTAATCAATCTTCTTGGAAGGCAGTTATCTTAATTGATTTTGTGCTCGACTACGGATTTTTATGTGCTTGAGGAATGTTTATCTGGTAGGTATGAGCAAATAAGCAAACGATTTATTATCACACATTGCTTTTTAATCCAATATTAAATATAGGGTTTTTTCAATGTTTGCCACCCTTTTCTATATCGAGCTTCTTCAATGGAGATCTTTTTGATTTTTAAAGATCGTCGAAATATGCAAAATTATGGTAGCAATTACACAGATATACCCACATCAACAAGAGTAATTTGCCTAGGAGGGGGGCAATATACACACAAATAAGATACATAATATTTATACATTTTATATTTACAATTTGGTTCAGTTGTTTTAAGATTTAATAGAGATGTTAAATTTGATGTCAGCACAGTTTTTTGAATTGTTACTAAGGGCACACGCAATCCCGCACAAAATCAGGAACAATGTGCGGGACAAAGTGCGGAACGGGACAACCCGCGGGCATCCCTAGCTCCATATATCTAAGCCTGGGTATTCCTTTTGGTCTTCTTCACTTTGATACCTGCCATATGATTCTCTTGGGAGCTTTATCTTCCTACATCTATTCCACATGACCCATCCAGTGTAGTTTTCCAAATTTTTACAAACGTGGTGATGCCTGGTTCTTTATATGCATTGTAAAATTTAAAGTTGTATCATCTTCGCCATTCTTCCCGTACTCCCCATGCATTATTCGCCATATCATCTTGTCTTCCCGTACTCCCATGCATATTTTTCTTAAAATTTACGTCGCTACTAGCTTCTCATCGCTTATTGGAAGTCTCTATGTTTCCGGTTCATATGGTACAAATGATAATATCATAACTATTCTTGTTCTTCTTTTTCTCTGAGTTCATGTCCACCATATTTTATAAGTTCCATGTTTATACCGTCTATACCTGGTGATTTACTGTTTATAATTTCCTCAACTTCATCTTTCGTTGGTTTTTCTAGCTCGGTTTCTATCATCGTGGTATCTTCTTCCACGTTTTCATTTAAGTCTTGGTCCTTTTGTACTGTTAATAATTCTTTAAAATAATCACTCCAGATTTCTTTAAACTCTTTGTCATTTTCTGATACTTTTTCATTTTTATCCTTCATGCAGAGGGGTGCGGCAGGGAGATACCTTGTCGCCAAAATTATTTATAACAGTTATGGAGTACGCATTTAAATGGCTAGAGTGGGAATCAAAGGATATTAACATCGATGGAAAGATATTCAATCATCTCAGATATGCCGATGATATTGTTCTCATAAACAGACAACTTAGGAGATGCCAGATTTATGCTATAATAACTACAGCAAGTAACACAGAAGGTCGGTTTAAAAATAAACTATGGAAAAACAAAAATGATGACCAATCTCGTCCCCAATGAGCTAATAGAAATCGAAAAGTCGCCCATAGAACTTGTGGAAAAATACGTGTATTTGGGTCACGAAATAAGGTCAATTACTGTTAAACTGGGAATAGGCCACAATGAAAGATAAAAATACGTTTATTGACGTTTCAATTTCCAATTCGGAAATCGTTCTCAAAATACAAACAGTAAATTAAACAAATTTTGTTTTTTGTTACATAGTGAAAAATTCTTCTAATAATTTAATTTTATCTGACTCATTTATATTGACAATTCAGACATACATTATGCATTTTAAAGTAGACGACTTTAAAATGATATTGCCAATATTGTTGAGTTGCGCTCCTGGGACGACTTTACTTATAAGATAGTTCATTCGATTACATGAAATCAACTTTAACTTGAGAATATCCGTCAGAAAAAATCATAGCATGTAATTCGCTTTTAAAAAGACAAACACATGACATGATGACAGTAAAATTCTCCTGTTAGTGATTCCATAGTAAATTATAAGGGAAAAACCAGGAAAAAAACCTCATAATACTATCCCGACATTGTAAGTATTTGTTCGTGAATTTAGTTTACCTTCAACAAACATCAAAATTCTGATTTTATATGTTACGTTATTTAAAAAACATAAATGATGTATCCTCTATATGTTACTGACTTACTAACACTGGTATTTTCTTATTAATAACTTCCTCTTTCAATATTGGTAACCAGATCCTACTACATTCTGCCGAGGAATTTGCGACACAATTGGCCTCATTTAGCATAATCAGAGCCGCTTCTTTGATTTTTCTTTTTTTACCATCCGTTTCTTTTAGGACTACATTTGAATTATTCCATTGAACCCTATATTCATTATCCCATGCGTGTTTACAGATTTGACATCTATCAAATTCTCTATTTTTAACATAAGATTGATGTTCACTTATTCTAACATTTAATGGCCTTGATGATTCACCTAAATAAAACTGATCGCATTCACAAGGTATTTTATAAATGCAATTCTTTGTACTTTCTTGTTCATTGTTAGGTTTGGTTTTGGACAAAATAGATCTCAACGTGTTTGTTGTTTTGAATGTTGTTGAAATGTTGAATTTATTTCCTATCCTTTTAAGTTCTTCTGATAATCCTTTTATGTACGGTATTGTTATTTTCCTCATATTATTCCTTGTGTATGCTGTAGGATCTTGTTCTAAGTTGTTCTGTTCTATTCGATCGATTGTTGAAAATTGAATCATCAAGGCCATTAAATGTTAGAATAAGTGAACATCAATCTTATATTAAAAATAGAGAATTTGATAGATCTCAAATCTGTAAACACGCATGGGATAATGAACATAGGGTTCAATGGAATAATTCAAATGTAGTCCTAAAAGAAACGGATGGTAAAAAAAGAAAAATCAAAGAAGCGGCTCTGATTATGCTAAATGAGGCCAATTGTGTCGCAAATTCCTCGGCAGAATGTAGTAGGATCTGGTTACCAATACTGAAAGAGGAAGTTATTAATAAGAAAATACCAGTATTAGTAAGTCAGTAACATATAGAGGGTACATCATTTATGTTTTTTTAAATAACGTAACAAATACAATCAGAATTTTGATGTTTGTTGAAGGTAAACTAAATTCACGAACAAATACTTACAATGTCGGGATAGTATTATGAGGTTTTTTTCCTGGTTTTTCCCTCATAATTTACTATGGAATCACTAACAGGAGAATTTTACTATCATCATGTCATGTGTTTGTCTTTTTAAAGACGAATTACATGCTATGATTTTTTCTGACGGATATTCTCAAGTTAAAGTTGATTTCATGTAATCGAATGAACTATCTTATAAGTAAAGTCGTCCCAGAAGCGCAACTCAACAATATTGGCAATATCATTTTAAAGTCGTCTACTTTAAAATGCATAATGTATGTCTGAATTGTCAATATAAATGAGTCAGATAAAATTAAATTATTAGAAGAATTTTTCACTATGTAACAAAAAACAAAATTTGTTTAATTTACTGTTTGTATTTTGAGAACGATTTCGGAAGTGGAATTGAAACGTCAATAAACGTATTTTTACCTTTAATTGTGGCTTATTCCCAGTTTAACAGTAATTAATTTACAATGCCACAAGAAAATAGCTTCGATATAAGGTTAACGCGAGATAACCAAACATGCGAGCTACTCAGAAGAATAAGTCTGTATTCGGAAAAATGAGGGCTGCATTCGGAAAAATGAGAGACGTATTTAAAACAAATATACCGATCCATTTAAAAAGAAAAGCTTTTAACCAATGCGCTCTACCAGTCCTCACATACGAAGCAGAAACCTTGACTCTCACAAAAACATCAGCCGAAAAACTGAGAAGGATACAACGAAAGATGGAGAGATCAATGCTTGGAATAAGCTTAAGAAATAGAATAAGAAACGAGGAAGTTTATAGACGAACCGGAGTGGAAACATTATTGAACATATTACAAGGCAAAAATGGAGATGGGCAGGACATGTTGCAAGAATGAAAGACGACAGTTGGACAAAAAAATTGCTTGAGTGGAGACCACGGGCTGACAAGTGAAGCCGAGGAAGACCCCCAACGCGATGGACCGACGACCTCAAAAGAATCGTGACCAATTGGATAGCAGAGGCGCAGAACAGAAGCAGATGGAAAGTCTAGAGGAGGCCTATGTTCAACAATGGACAACTCAGGGCTGATTGATGATGATGATGATGCTCAGTATCAGTAAGTGCATTGAGCTTAATAGTGAGTCTTCGCCTTCTTTTATCAGTTCTGCACTAATATTATCTGATTCAGGCAATTTATCGTTTTTTTTTTCACTTCAGCTACTCATGCCGGGTTTGTTTCTCTTTTCTCCCGATCATTTAATTCAATTTTGTCATCGAATTCATCGCTATTCTAGTTTACTCTAGTGAGAGTATCTTCCAATGGATTTTTATATATAAGCAAAAACGTATAGGACTTGTTACAGGTCTCACACATCGTTACATTAATTTTCAAAGCCATCTAGAAATCCAAAAATAGGTCGAATAGAATCTAAAAGCTTTATTTTTCTGATATTATGTTCGACTTAAAGATAACTGATTAACTCTGTCCATTTTGTCGATCTAGAATAAAGATATTTAAGTCTATTCTCTATAATACGAATTATATCCACAAACTGTGTCAAAGGTATAAAAAACTATACCTTTTTGCGATACGTCTCCGAGATCACAACTTTGCTCACCCTATATGAAAGCAATATTTCATATTGCACCAAATTGGTAACCAAATATATCAATGATATATCGATACATGCATATTAGTATTTAAAATTCGACCTCCCAAGAAATGGTCCACCAGTCACCGCCTCATAAAAAACGGGATATAAAAATACAAACTCGTGGGAAGTTGTCAATGTGCATTGAACAAGTAGGAAACGAAATTCTATGAACCTCTTTGCAGGTGGGTATCTGATATCTACATCTCAATGATAATTTCAACAACGTGGGTACTGAAGTAGTCAACATTACTAAAAAAAGTCGACTCGTTATTGCGTAATGTAAACAGTTAGATCAATATCGGTTGCAGCAGTTTGTTCATTCATTGGAGTAAATGCTATGAATAATGAATAGTTGACAGGAAACTTTTACTTAACTTTATTGGTTTTGTCGAGATTAACATCGAACATGGAAAAATATGACATTATGAAGTCACACTGACACACTTAACGATAAATCACGTAAATAATAGAAAAGAGCCTGTTAAGTCATTAAATTCTAATTACTTTATTAGAATGATTCTTACTACAGTAGATTAGATGTCAATACCCAATTCTCAAGTAAATTTTTTCAACATATACTATTTAGACGATGGAGAAAAAATTTAATTATTAAGAATTATTTTTTCTTCCTAATTTAGTAGGGAGATCCGATAAGTACGTATCTTACAAAAGAAAAACGAAAATTTTGCAAAAGTGGTAGGTCTCATTTTTAGCTCGATACACTTGACACATCGCTACTGCAACTTCTTTAACCCGTCTGAAAACTCCGCTTTCTCGAGGTCTGCAAAGTAGACTTTCGTGACCTCATTAGACTTAAATTTCTTCCCGGCGTGTGCATTTTTTAAGTTTGGAAACAAAAAGATGTCGGACGGGGCTAAATCTGGAGAATACGCTGGATGGGGCAACAGTTCGCAGTTCAATTCGAACATGGTTCGTCGACACCATGGCGACTGCGGAGTTATGAGCAAGTGCGTTGTCACGTTGGAAGCGTTGTCACTTTTTTCTTTGCCTAATGTCGAAGAAAATTGTTTTTTCTGCAGTTTATCGTCGAATCGGTCCAATAATTCGAAGTAGTAGAGCCCTGTAACAGTTTTGCCTTCTTCAGCTAGTCGATGTAGATCACTCTTTGTGAGTTCCAGAAAATGGTGGCCATCACGTTTTCTGCCGATAAGACAGTCTTCACCTTCTTTAGAGCACGTTCTCAGGGTGCCGTCCACTCTTACGACTGTCACCAGTACATCCATGTTTCGTAGACGGTTAAGAAACGACGTAGAAACTCCTTCGGATTATGCTTTGACTCTGAAGTGGTTTCAAGGTTGCGCTTGTTGTCCAGGGTCAGCAACGCAGTACGCATCGCGCCGGCAGCTTTCTCATGCTCAAAATTTCATGTAGGATATGACATATGACATATATAAGCATCCAGTTATATTGACTCTAACCTACTAAATCTAAGTATTATAGAGCCACTTAATAAAGTTTCTTAATGATTTTAAGTAACTGAAGTAAAATATTACATATCATGTAGATGAATTTTTTTTATTGCAGAAGATAAATCCATTATAAAAATGATTCAGTTTATTTTCTAAAATTTATTTTATTAAAAATAAAAACAAAAAACATTTCCGGGCAGGATTCAAACACAAGTCTAATGGATTTCAAATCTATAGTTTAACCACCTGTACACCAAAGCTTAACGTAAGATGGCGTAAAATAAATAATATGGAATTTTTCATATAAAAATGATTGCACGTCATTCAATATTTACGACGAAAGAACCCCACAGCGTGTGAGGAATTTTTAAAATAACTATTTGTAAAACTATTATATTAACAGTAAATACACTTAGTTTTAAGACTACTGCAACACACTAAAATACATAAGAAAACATTTTTATACAAAATTATATATTTTTAATTTTAAACTTATCCCTTTTAGAGCATTAATAGTAAAAACGTCCCGCCATTATTTCTTGTTCAAAATAATGTATCTTGTATGAAAGCTTATCAGCTTTCTACAGACTATTTAGTTGTGGCATAGCACAATCACAATACATAACAATAATTAGTTATTAAAGCTATTAATCTAAATTTAAAGTGTATTTATAAATACAATTTATTAGTATATCATATATTATGATCAAATTGTGTAAGAAATCAAAACATAAACAAAATTATTACTCTAAAAAAGCAACAACACTTTATACAATTCTGCCACAAGCTGAACTCTCATTAAAATTTGAAGTATTCCCCAGTTGCGTGCATTTGCCTAATGTATTTAATTAAAATTATTATTTTATGGAATATTAGACTTAAAAAGTTATTTCATAAAATTTATATTATTAATAATAACAAATGTTTTTGGACATTTAATCAATATAATTCTAAAAAATTCTACCATGTTGTCGCCTATTAAAGATCGAGCAGTTCCGTATGGGTTTCGTAAGGTTAACGTTCTGGAAATTTTACATATAAGTGACGTCATTTTATATAAATTGTGACGTGCAACTATCAGATTACGAGTAAATAAGTTTTTCATTTTTTTGGAATTAAAAGTCTGTTTAAAGACATAACTTGGTTAGTTATTGAAAACATGTTATTTATCTATACGTAAAACATAACAATATTTAAATAAATAGTGTTTTACTTTTATAGCCTTTTTACAACTAATATTTTACACAATCGCTTAACTTTTTATTTGCAATATTATGAATGTCCATATTAACAGTTGGTAAATTTTGCAATACAGCTTTTTCTTGAGGACTCTACTACTATACAGCGCAATATCCTATTACTGTGCTAATCAACGTTGAAATTAGCAAACGTTTTTTGAGCTAAACTTAAAACCAGCATTTTTAACATATAATTAAACATTAATACTAATTTAAAGAAGATTTAAACGATGTGGTGTTCGCAAAAAAACAGGAAAATATTTCACTGAGAAAAAAAAAGTAGAAATTGTCACAGCAAATATATCCCATTTTATGATTAATGAAAGTTGACTCCAATAGTAAAGAAATTGGTGAAATTAGTGTACAAATTCGTTATAGATAGTCAAATTTTATGTAAAATTAAAAACCGAAACATTTACCTTTTATATTTTTTTTTGGGAGCAATTTCTCCCGTTTTTTGGGATTGGTTAATATTTTTTTGTGGCTTGCTCCTTTTGTGAGTGTTTTTATTCTTTTTTTTGTGCTAAAGCCGTTTTTGTACATTTTGGACTATTTGAAGCGTATAAAATAAGCATCTAAATACACTGCGATGCCAAAAGTAAGCCCGCTGTCTTCTTTTGATAGAGCTACTATTATCTTAATTTTATTATATGTTTGCTAATATTTGCTGCTTGGGTCTTCTGTGCTTCTATCAATGGTACACATTATATCTTAATATCTGTTGAAGGATCCGGTTAGGATGATCATCTACCTAAACAAATTTTGTTCTGGCTTTTTCCTTCAGCATATCCAGTACCCTTATTTGTTTTGAAGTCCCTGTACAGGAAACGTTCAGCGACGTATCTGGGTATGTTTGCAGCTTCGCGAAAGGCAGTTTTTGTGTTGCTATGACTTGTATGTCCCTATGCAAGAGATGCATATATCTAATTATTGCAAGTATGACGCTGTTTATCAGGCATATTTTGGTTTCCTAGTTAATTAGCTTCTTCTTCCTGTGAGTCCTCTTATTGCTGCTCTGGCAGCTGTGTTTTCTCGACTGTCGCGTTAGAATGTAGTGTGAATGTTAGACCTTGGTCCATTATGATTCCTAGGTATTTAGCTCCGTTTTACCATTCGATGGGTCTACACCACCAAATGGTGATAAGACTGTTACCTGTGGTACTCCAGCTTCCGGGATTCAGTGTTTAGATGGAGCTGGTCATATCTGGATCTTTTGAACCTCCGGCCGCTTAGGTACGAGGAGATGAGTGTTGTAATGTATCCATAATTTCTCATTTTGTATATCAACCCTTTATGCCACACTCTGTCGAAGGCTTAGCATACATTCCGGAAGGCTGCTCCTGTCTATTGGTTATCCTTGAATCCAGCTTTTTTGTATTCTGTAAATCTAAGTACTTGTGGTTCGCTAGAATGTTGAGCTTTAAATCTGAATTGTTTCTTCGGGGATTACCTCTAGCATGAACGTCTCATATCCATTGTATAAACTAACGTATTTAATTGCCTTATCACATAATCTATGACGGATTTTTGTTCGTTTTTGTATGAATATTTTTATGTTAGCAGAAACCATTCATAAGCATAAATCTATTTGCATAAATAGCGAAAAAC